TTTGTGAACAGCACTTATCCGTACGAACGTTTTCATTGTATCCGGATAATTCAGCACATTTAACCTAATTACCAGGTAAAAAACGTAACTAGTCAAAATTTCGTGGGAACCAAGGCGTATAATAGTAAAACGACTCCTCCTGAGGATGGCCGATCTGCAGAGGTGAGTACTTGGTGCCATAGTCGATATAGGAGGAGGGTGCTTTTCACAACAAGGTATGCTCATATTAAAAAGAGTGAAAAAGTATGGCACAAACATCAGGGCCCGAACCCGCAACCTCTGGTCTTATAGCTAGACGCTTAACCATCACACAATTCAGACGACTTGATACTCATATGGCTCAGTCCTGTGTAATGCACATGGCACGTTGAAGGAAATGTGTAAAATTCATATACATCGCTTTACCAGGTGATTCTTCTATCTTTATATTTTTACAGGGATAGAATCACCCGGATAATCTCCAAAATATCCGTACTGCAACGAAAAGTTCGAAGTTCTGGGTTAACGTTATGGGGGAAATATTTGGGCATGCGGCGGAGATGGCCGGATAGTGTCGACGCTAGAGCTTAGAGTCCCGCAGTGGGAGAATTAAAACACTAAAATCTGGCTGAAAAATACAATTTTGGAGTATTAGGGTCAGAGCATCCCCACCGGTGCGACTATAAACGCTACTGTAGTAGTTGAGTGGGGGTGCTCTAACGCTTGACCAGGCACGAATCATACAGGTGTCTTTCTGTCCGATTTTAGTAAGTTTCACAATACGGTGGTACTTCAAATTGTGATGCATTAAGGGAATTATTTTTTCGTCACGAAAGCATGTGGAGAAGCGAAATTGGTTGAACACACAAGGGAACGAGACAAGCACCGATGAATTACGATGACTTATAGCCAATCAATTGTTCGAAATCATTTACCGTAGTATTATTGGCTGAATATATTCGAAGATTATTTTGACCACCGCAATCTAGGATACACTTTGCGCTGTCCAAAGGACCAATTCTTGTCACACACTACACGACAAAAACCATCAAACACACTTAAACACATCCCTCGAAAGTTCAAGTAGGAAATGTCCCAACGTTTAATTAAACGCAAGCCTTCTCATTGGGAATATCCGTTTTGAAGGACAAACCCTGAACAAAACATACCGTTCAGCCAAGACTGAAAACCGTTCAATCTATTAAACTCTAGTTAAATGAGGCATAATTTTTGTACTCTGACCACCTCACCTCAACCCTGGGGATTTAGCATTATACTTCGAAGTATGTACACGCGGGGGTAGGACGAAGTCCCAGGGTTACAGGGTTACGGGAAGAAAATTTGCTTGTACGGTTTTCAGTCTTGGCTGAACGGTATCCAGATTTCTTGAACATTTTCCCATAGTTTCCGTTTTGAAGGCTTGGTCGATGACTGTCTTACTTAATGTTGAGGAATGTTACCCCTATTTATGGATGTCAATTTGATTCTACTGTAGTACTATGGTGCAACGTTCACTTGTACTACGTAGTAATATTTACGAAAATTAAAGGATTTGTGACTTACTGTTAATTTTTCTTGGCACCTATTTTTGTCGAACACTGTAAATTAACTGTACATGACGAAACCACACCAAATCACCTTTGTACGAAAAACATGTACAGTACACATACCAGTGTATTAAAAGTACTTCGAAGTACTACGCAGGATTAGTACGTTGAAGTTCAAGTGGGAAATATCCCAGCGTTTTATTCATTACTAGTACAATACGTGCATCACCCAAGGCAGATCCCGTTTGTCACAACTGATTGTATCCCATGTCCACATTGCAAATTAATTTTCCCGAGGATCCTGTGATAATACGTTTCCTGTGAAATATTTCCTATGACAACGATCCTCACTGGAATGAATTATACTTTATATTGTCATAACCTATACAAATAAATATGCGATCCAAAGTTTAGAAACTCATTTTTATTTAATGCTTTGCCACCTTTCAATGGAGTACAGTACTGCAGTATTGTCAAATGATATAGAATGTGCGTAATACTAGTACTGTACAGTACTATAAATAGTACTAGTACCGTAGTATTCAATGTCGTTGTCAACACACAACCCCCCAAGGCACGACTTGACGAGACTGATTGCCAGGGTTGCTTACTACTAGTACATACTATTAATAGTACCTATGGACGATGCAGAATGATACTGCTCGATGTCTAATTTTGTCAACTTGAGACGCAGGTTGAGTTCCTTACAAACGGCTGTGACCGTAAAAGTGTACCGCACACTTACAGGCTGAAAGCTGTGCATCCAGGTTGGAACCCTGTTGGTTGCCTTGTTGAAAAAGCAAGGAGTCAAATTGACTGTAAACCCACACATCACTTACGAGTAACCTGTCGTTAACTGAATTCATGTACTGTACAGTTTACCAGGTAGTAACCGACTAGTAGTAGTAGTAGTCGACACCGTCGAGCAACACCAATATATGTATGGTAGTTACAAGCGTTCGGGGCCGGGTTTTCTACTTGATTTGACTATGGTGGCCCACTTCTACCCAACTGTCGTCACTTAGCACATAACGTTAGTTAAGAATATATTATATGACATACACCCCGTGGTGCCGCTCCACCATGGTGGCCAAGCTAATATTTGGAGCAGCCTGTGGACATATACGTGAGATATGTGACGACGAATCTTTATATATACTAGTTAGTATACTGACTGTATCCATCGCTGCCTTGCTTGGTATGGAGAATGGAAGAAGTCTGATTTAAGGGATTTCTAGACTTGACGCACGGCCATTGGCTACACCATCTGCGTCGAAATTACATGCCACCCACCGGTCACTTTTCTATCTTGCGACCATGAAGGTGTGCTACGTTCTTCTGGCGGCCTTGGGCGCTCGTGTCGCCGCGACCACACCCACCGACGCCGAGATGGACGCGCAGGTGCAAAAGATGCTCGACACGCTGGTAGTACATGCATACCCCCTACCCTATCTCTCTCCCCCTCTTGCATCTCTCACTCGTGATGGCGGCGTCACTTTAGACAGACGACCAACTCCTCGCGCAAATGAACCAAATCGACATTGGCTCGTTCCTCCTCGACGTCAAGGGCGCGAAAGAGCTCAACGAGTCCCAAGTCCAAGAGTATGCCGACCTCGGAGTCGGGTCGTACCTGAACGCCCCGTTCCTCGCCCCGCAAGACAACCGCGTGAACTGGAACACGAGCGAGTACCGCGCCGCGATCGGCAAGATTCAGAGCATGCACACGTCGTCGAGCCTGAAGATCCCGATCTTGTACGGTCTCGACTCTGTGCACGGCGCCAACTACGTGCAGAAGGCGGTCATTTTCCCGCACGCGATCAACGCGGGCGCGACGTTCAACGCGACATTGGCGCGGATGATGGGTCTGTACACTGGTCGGGACACCAAGGCCGCGGGGATTCCATGGGTGTTTGGTCCGATGATGGAGCCCGCTCGACACAAGCACTGGTCGCGCATCTACGAGAGCTTCAACGAAGACCCGACCGCCGTGTCCATCTTGACGTCTGCGTACATTGAAGGCATGCAAAGCCAGAAAGTCGCTGCGTGCGTCAAGCACTTGATCGCGTACTCGAACCCGATCGACGGCAACGACCGTAGCAACGTGAACGCGTCGTCTTACGAGCTTCTCAACTATTACGCGCCGCCATTCAAGGCCGCGGTGGACGTAGGCGTGATGAGCGTCATGGGGTCGTACATTGCGCTCAATGGGGTACCCGTGGCCGCGAACGAGCTCACGTCCAAGGCATTGCTTCGCCACGACCTCGGCTTCAAGGGCATGCTCGTGTCGGACTATGGCGAGATGTACCTACTCCGCCGCGACCACAAGGTCGTGACGTCGGACCTGGACGCTGTCGACATGAGCCTGAACAAAACATCGTACGATATGAGCATGACCCCGTGGGACATCACATTTATCACGCACGGCCAGAAACTTCTGCAGCAACGGCGGCTGAAACGTGCGCGGCTCGTCGAGTCGGTGGCTCGGATTCTCAAGCTAAAGCTCCAGCTGGACCTGTGGAACCAGCCGGTGCCGGGGGCGGATGTGGTCGAGTCGGTGGGGGATGCCGCGTCGAAAGCGGCGGCGCTCGCCGCGGGCCACGAGTCGATCGTGTTGCTCAAGAACGAAGAAGGGGTCCTCCCGCTAAAGTTGCCCCTGTCGTCGTTGTTTTTGACGGGGCCGTCGATGGACGACGTGGGGTACCTTTGCGGAGGCTGGTCGCTGTACTGGCAAGGCACGTCCGGGAACGGTATGTTTCCGAACGGGATCTCCATTCGCAAAGGTATTGAAACGATCCTCGGGTTGAATGGGTCGACGTTGCCATACCTTGGCGGTGTTCAGATGGAATCTGGCAATATCACGAGCGCCGACGACTTTGCCAAAGCCAAGCTGTTCGCTCAGGCTGCCACGTATACAATCGTCGCGCTCGGCGAGCGTACGTACGCTGAAGATGGCGGCAACAAAGACCCCCAGGAACTGCCCCCTGGCTTTACCACGTACGTCGAAGCATTGGCGGCGACGGGTACCAAGATCATCTTGGTGCTCACGGAAGGCCGGCCGCGGCTCCTCGGTCGGCTGCCGACGCTGGCATCGGCGGTGCTGTGGGCGGGCTTACCGGGGGAAATGGGCGGCCAAGCGATCGCCGACGTCTTGTTCGGCAAGGTGAATCCAAGCGGCAAGCTTCCGTACACGTACCCCCAGACCGATTCGTTTGTCAACTTGGCGTCGCCATACTATATGCGCAATGCAACGCACTGTATCAACAAGGTGCACGGAAATGTGTCGGCGTGTCCGACCGAGTACCACTTTGGCGACGGGCTCAGCTACGCATCATTTGAGTATTCCAGCGTCTCCCTTAGCTCCAAAAGTCTAAGTTATTCGTCGTCCAAGGGCAAGAATACGCTCACGGTGTCAGTAACGATCAAAAACAGTGCGGCGATTGCAGGCCAAGAGACGGTGCTGCTGTTCATGACGCCGCCGCCGACCCGCCCGACCGCGGAAACCAAACTGCTCAAGCGATTCCAAAAGATATGGCTAGGTCCTGGAGAGTCCCGAGAACTGAAATTTGATCTGCAGCCTCAAGACTGGGGGTACTACTCGAACGAGATTGGCGCTGGATTGGCTACCACGAGTCCCAGCGGCACGTACACGGTGTTCTTTAAAGGAAGCACCGACTGCAATAACCAGCAGCACCACCAGTTGTGCCAGACGTTCGAGTGGAGCATCCCGGGCTCGGGGGTACTGCCCTTGCAAGACCCGAGCAAATCGCCAGTGTCGGGCGGAACACTGACACATGTGGCCACGATGGCGGTCGTCGTGGCGGCGATCTCGGCGTTGGTGGCATGGTGATATGGATAGGATGATATACTAGTACTTACTACTAGTACTAATAGTAGAACACTGCTGTACAGTTGTAATGGAACATAAGACTACGACGGTTGTATATATATTGTATACTTCGAAGTATAACGTTATACTCGTATGCATCTTGCATTGGTAGTTTGTGGCGAGGGAAGCATGGCAGGCAGGCTGGGACAATGACTACTACAACAACTGCCACCATCCCTACAAAGAAAGCACTACAATAACTTTATGAATAGTATTATATATTACCTATTTTAATAGTAATATATCATATTGACAGTGAATACAGTAACTATTAATATAACTTACCTATTTTAATAGGTAAGTTATAGTACTACTGTAGTATTACGTGAATTCACAAATGATTTGCGACATTTTATGTTTGCTTCAAACTCGTGTACACTTGGAAAAACCTTGAGGTGGAGGATTTGAAAATGGCGAAATCGTTGGAGTGTGTGCTGCACCTACGATTGCATACAAAAGTCAAGTTCTGGCTTACGAATCCCGTGGATGTCCATTTCGCTGGCGTTTGGACTTGCCATGTACTACTACTGTAATAATATTTCCCTGAGAGCACAAATCTCCACAGTTGCTTGCGTTATCATTTTACTTGTTCTTATTATGTGATAGTCAAATGCAATTTAAAACCAAAACATCACATTCCAGTAAGAGTTGCGCACACACGGTACAGTCTGTATGTATCCCATCGGTATATCTCAAAACTTCGGTATACTGTAGTACGAATAACCGTGGGAACACAAGGGTCAGGGGGTTAAAGAGTTGAACCTTTTGGGCCAAACTACACTAATCGACAATTGGTTGAAAATTATTGTTATTGCACTTTGATTGGCTAGGACAGTTTTAAACCTTTTGGTCATTTTCGTTCGGAAATCCATACTAACGTTAGTAGTAAGTCTTATTACATGTACGTAGTACTACGTAATATTAATATTGGAACGGACTCAATACAGCACAGTGTCACAGTGTATTAACTACCAGTAATATCTACTACTACTGTAGATCATGTACTTCACATGTTTAACGTTAGGAAGGTAGTGCATGCAAACATTCTTATCTACGTGGAGTAGTACAGGGGACGAAAGCAACGATGGCGGAGGTCTAATTTGTAGTTTTTAGCATACATGCGTGCACATGCGCATGATATGCCGTTATCTGTAGTTAGCTGCCACAGTGCAGGTTGGGATGTACAGTACATATGTGCCGTGTAATAGTCTACAAGTTGGTATGCGTCCCATCGCTCGTCGTCATTCCTAGCCTATGTATTCATCCACCAAAGTTCCGCATTTTGCTCATGCGCGCATGCATCTAGTGTCGAATTTTTCTCGCACATGCGGGGATGAATCTTTTTTTCTGATACAGAACGGGTAGAGAACGGATAGTAAAATTCTACTACGTAGTATTGTCGATTTTCTTCAAATTTCCCAATTTTGCATGGTTCGTTCAATCGAGCACAAATAGAGCCGAGACATCTGATTGGCCAATATATCCACTTCGCCCTTTCCAGTAGAAACTCGAAAATGGATTGTAGCCAATCAGCGAGCAAGTTATTTTGGAATGACCAATGGGAGAGATTGGTGCTCGATTCGCTCGGTGAGATTCGATTGAACGGGGTCCGGAAATTCATACCGAATCTCCAATACCGTGGTAACGCTACTACGTAGTATAAACCAGGAATTTAATTTCACATTAACCAGAAAAAGCAAGGTGAAATAGGCAATTTTGTATGGAGCGCAAGGTGAGCCTTGCGAATTCCATAAATAATTCTGCAATTGTATAGTTTCAATTAAATATATCTTCAAGTTTGTATTGATGATTTTTATTTTTCATGTTCTGTCTCTTTTTGGAAAGGTCACCTTGCGAATTCAAAATTGTCCAATTTTGTCCAATCAGATGCCGTGAAATCACGAAAATCGTAGATTCATCACAATATATTCTACTCCTGTGATGACGGTTGATTCAAGGAGTCTTGAGATAATTGTAGGCTGGTGTATGATAGCAAGATCATGTGATGTGGTATTCAGGACTCGGTCAATTCTAACAGGTCTCGTTTCACCACTTGCCTACTAACCCAATTAAATTGGTCATCCCTCATTCCACTATCCAGCCCGTGTCGGTGCCGTACACCTCCCTGCCGGTGTGATCACGTGATTGCGCGGGCGGTGGCGCAAGACGTCTTGGTGGCACCCATCGCAAGTGCTGAAGTGGCGGCTTTAGCACTTTGCGTTTGCGATGGGTGCTACCAAGACCTCTTGCGCCACCTCGTTGGCCCACCAGAGCAGCCACGACATTGCGACCCAACCGAGCGCACAACATAATGTTAGCTGAAAGGGGAAAACCACATTGGACATAGTCGGGGTGCACTCATCAGTGAACAACATAGCATCACACAAAGCTCTTTACAAAATTCAAAGTTCAAAATTGTAACCTCTCCTGTCAGTGTTATAGCCAATCGTGTGTAAGAAACAAGGTGTGATGGACTCTGATTGGGAGCAAGGTGACAAGTCCACCTAGTACCCCGTTTAACCCTGCAAAAAGCGCAGAATCATCAGTTTGTCACATGAACGACTTGGGAAAGCGACGAAAGGAGTCAGCAATTCTGTGATCATCACGGCAATGTCCGTTTACATGTTAACGTTAGTGGATCGCAATGTCAAATTTACGGCCTGTTCCTGCATTTCCCAGGATGTACAACTATTTACTACAGTAACTAGTAGTAACAGTAAATAGTCGATTCTATTTTCACAAATGTGAGCTGATTCCACGGCGTTATGTTTATTGTAGATTCGGTATGAATATCCGGTCCGTCCAATCGAATCTCGTACTTCTTACGTCGCACTACATTTGATTGAATATTATGCAGTAGTGATTATCTAAAATATTATTTCTATTTTCCATGTCCTTTCCTTGAAATTTCCCGCCCGTGAAACCTCGCCGCGATATTTGATTGGCTGCCAAATAATAGCCAATCAAATATCGCGGCGAGGTTAACAGTAAATTGGGAAATAGAGTACCACTTTGGTACTTCGAAGTAGTATTTATTTCGACTCGTATTTTAACCAATCAACGCAAACCTTCGAACTTTTCAAGATGCCGTCGGAAGAGGGCATGGTGACGAAGCTTTTTGCGGGCTTCCTCTGTGTGTGCTGCTGGCTGCATGGGGCCACGGTAGGCGTTGCTGTGGGCGACGCGTTGGATCTGGCGCAGTTCTTCGTGCTGTCGTTGGGGGTGTGCTTCTCCATCTCAGCCATCTACCCCACGTCGCGGCGACTCGCAGCGTCGATCCTGTTCCTCGCGTGTGCAGTGTTCCTGAGTTCCCTCGTCAAGTCCATCGTGTTCTTCCGCACACCGAATCACTTGAACGCCGTGCTTCCGGACATCGGTCACGACTTCTTGCCGCCCGTGCCGTTCCCGCCGCAGGTGCTCCTCGTACTCGTGTGCACCGCGACCGCCGTCTTCGTGGCGTTCCATCCGTCCAAGATGGTCATAATGCGTCGGTTGTTGCTCATCTATGCGACGTTGATCATGGCCCGTACCGTCTTGGCGCTCATGACGTTTCTCCCCGACTCGAACCCGAGCTGCCTCGCCGAAGAGAAGTCGGTCAGCGCCAAGGAGGTCGTCCAGCACTTCCTCGTCTCCCGTCGAGGTGCACACCTCTCTCCCTCCCTCCCTCGATCTTCCATCTTACTCATCTACCTCTTCCAGGCTTTGTCGAATGGATCGACCACCAGCGCAACACGACCCTCCACGGCTGCCGCGACACCATCTACTGCGGCCACTCGACGCTGCTCGTGCTCTGCGGCATGACGTGGCACACGTACTATCAACGGGTGGAAGCCCCCGTCAACTGGGTCAAGTCTATTGTATGGGTCTTTGCTATCATGGCCATGGTAGGCAGGCACACCTTCAACTCTGCGCTTTTCAATCATCGAATCTTTCACTCTATTCTTTCAATTCATTTATTATATAGTTTCATCTATTATTTGGCTTAGTATATCATTTCATTCATCTATTCTTTCACTGCATCAATTCTTTTCAATTCATTTATTTCTATAGTTTCATCTATTATTTGGTTGCATCTATTCTTTCGATTAATTTATTTTATAGCTTCATCTATTATCTTAGTGCATCTATCCTATCGCTTCATCTATTATTATATAGAGTATATTTATATATATATATTGTGAATTGTTCGTATTTAGGTGAGTTCTCTGGGAAGAAGAGAAACGTACACGCTGGATGTGGTGCTTTCGACGTACTTTGCTGTCACTACTTGGGCCACGTACCATCGACTAGCCAACGACGTACTCACAGGTGTGTAGAAATATATATTTATTTCCTGTGCGGTGGATATATATATATTTCCTGTGCAGTGGATATATATATATTATATATTGATAGTGTAAGCTAGCGTTTTCCATGTATTTGTATGTATGTTTGTATGGTTGGTGGTGGAGTGTTGATCTATCGATGTGGTGGTGTGATTCCGATAACTCTGTGCAACCTGGCTGTGATAATTCGACACATAATTGTTTTAGAGATATATATATTATATATTACGTGTGTTTTGCATAATTTATATATATTTGAAAATGAATTGTATGTAGGACACGTGTTTACGAGCGTGTGGTTGATTGATAAGATGATTGTGTATCCGCTGGTGGAGTGGATGGAAGCTGAAGGAGGCCCGAAGACACCCCGGTAAACCGAAATAGGATATCTCAATGATATATATATATATTTCGATATTTATCCGTATTAACTGGGGAGTTTAGGTCGAGTAAAAACGTGCGGTTGTATCGACGCGATACCAAGGACCACGAAGAATGGACGGCGGCCGTGCCACGCCAAAAAAACACGTTCCGAACAAGCGAGTATTAGGACGATATCGTTCCGAATAGAGGTAGCAGACGTTTCATATAACTTGTGGCAGACAATCAATCGACCAATCAAAGCCCAGACAGAGCACGACTTATTCATAATAACGTAAAGCAAACATCGTCAACAAATTAGTGTGAAAGAAAATCCACACTCTTCACATACAAAAATCAACCCAAACCTGCCAAACAATATGGTTGAAAGTGCGAAGTAGTACTATACTACGTAGTAGTTATTTGTGTGACAGGGTGACTGACTGCACACAATTTAATAGGAACCTCCACCCCCCCCCGTTCAGTCGAACACGACATCGCATATTATGTTACCCCCTCACGTGCCCATTTAAATTGGCGTCGACGTTGTGTTATGACGAACTACTACAAGTACTAGGCAATTTCATTGGCGACCTTGGCGGCCGAATTGAGGTAGACTGGCTCCATATACCCGCAATCCCCGCGGCTTCCCGGGCCTCCGTACCCGTCGCTGCTGGTGAACCCTTCGGCACAGATGCAAATGCCATGCAACGTGTCGCATGTGCCCCTACAATCCCGCTGATTAGACAAAACAAGAACCTCCCACACTTTATACTCTTCCCTACCGATTCGAGCACACGGCGTCCTCTTTGGTGCCGACAACAGACCCGCCCGTGCCGTCGTTCTTGACCGTGACAGATGTGACACCGTTGACTGTCGTGCGGATGGTCGGAAGTGTTCCGAACACCGTTCGAAACGTGATCGAAATCGAGTTGATGCCACTTGCTGTACAAGCGGCGGGGCCCGATGAATACACGACAGACACCTACAAAAAGGTGTGGCCAAATCGATCAATATAGTGCCACATATATCACACCATGACGGTCATCACAATACTGCCATATCTATCATTATGCATGCAAACCAATCCCAATAATGCAGCATCTAACACAACCATCGTTGTCACAAAACTACCACATATATTATCACTCTGCATGAAATTCAATTTTAATAATGCTTTATAGCCATAATGCCACATAGATCACTACGCTTATGAAAGAAAATAAATCTTAAGACTACCACATATATATATATATATATATATTGCTAACACAGAGTGTACATTAAATATACTGTTAAAAGTTGGGTTTTACAGGATGATGTAGGTAGATAGTACCTGCCCAAACGCTGGCAGCGCTTGCAATGCGACCGTTAAACTTGCGGCTGAGATGGAGAACGACAGTGCCGGCGTCGTCTGCCCTCGGAACCCCAACGTAAACGTGCCCGTCTAATATATATATTAATATATATATTTCAATGATATAGTTTGGGATGAAACACTGAAATATATATATACATATATTCAGAATAGTGATACCGTTCCAATGCATTGCACGACTTGGATGGTGTTGGCTTGGGGGCGGTTCTTCGTGTCCATCCTTGTCACGGGGTCGTCCCCTGTGGGGCATGTGACTAGAGCCATATTAAACCCAGTGAAATCCCTCGCTTTAACGACATATATCGGTACATTTGGAGCAATCAAAGTCGGTGTAGCCGGGGTTGCACACGCAGCCTTGCAATTGGTCGAAATCCCACGTCTAGAAACACTCGTTAAAGTACCGTGAAAATGACACATCATGTACGGGGTAATTGTTTGGAATGGCGCCGTAGGTTAACTTGACGGGGTCGCCGTTAATGACTGACAGTCCCGCCATGGACTGGATCGTTTGGCAGGTGCCGTGGCCACTGCATTCGTTCGGACATACCACTACAAGATGGCGTGTTAACTGGGCCGTACGTTAACAACAGTTAAACTACTCACTTCGGTTGCATGACGCCCCAGTAAACCGCGGGTCGCACACACATTCGCCCTTAGACCGGTCGCAAGTGCCAGCGTTGGAGCATTCGGCTAATGCGTGGGCCCCCTGGGCGTCAAAGGGCATGTCGAACCAGGCTTTGCCCACAGGACAAATCCCTAGTTGACCACGTCGTTGGGAATTTTCTCATATTTGTCAAATAGGGGCCGAAAGTACGTACGCTCGGAGCAGTCGCCGCCTTGGAACCCGCTGGCGCATATACACGTGTACGTTGGGGGGCCCTGGCAAATCCCATGCCCGCTGCACGCCAGCACCGATCCCTATATCGAGGGAATCCCAAAAGACAATCAGTTTTGAAGGGTATTTCGTTACAAGAACGCTCGTACGGGGCATTGTGTGATGGCGGAAAAGGCGTACCCACAGTCCCCCCGTGTACCAATGTTGCCGTTGCCGTCGCTCGAGAAAAAGCTCATGAAGCATGCACAAATGCCCTATTCACACACATAGTTCACATGGGGACACGTTTCGGAATTGTTCCCATGGAAACATGGGCATTAATGGGAAAAAACCCCACCGACGTTCGATCGCACAGCCCGCGGTTCGAGCAAAACGCGTTCTCTTTCGTGCCGTCCACGGCCGTGGTGATGGTCAGGGTAGGGATCATTCCCGCCGATGAGTGGGTCAATTGCGATGCATCCCCAACGACCGAGGGCAAACTACACTAAACAGTTAATACTACACTCCCAAACCAACTAACGGCCTCGTCGCAACTTACTCGCCAAAGTCCTGGGTGAATTCCAACGCAATGTTGTTGCCGAGGATCGTACAGGCTTGGGTAGTAATGCCTGAGTAAGACACCGCCACACCATTCACAGAAGGCAACGCCTGAACAACCAAACAACAGAAACGAGTAACTAGTTAGTACCATGTTACTAGTATATTGTGCTTTTCAGTCAAATTTGCGTATTTTGGGGGATTGATGAAATCGCCAATTTATCGAGCAAAGGAGTATGATTGGCTACAAAGAATGAAGGTTGCAATATGATTGGCTAAGTATATTGATTGATCCATTGCAGTCACACAGATGCCAGTTTTACTTCGTTTTATATGGAATTTCGAAGGTCCGGTGATTGTTCGGGGCGGTTAACCAATCACCACTGGAGGAAATTATGAGTAGAACACGCAATACCATGGTACTGCATAATAGACCCACATCGAAAACATCGACACAATACTACTGACTGACGTTGTATTTTCGACTTACCCCCACTTTAGCTTGCACGGTGGCGGCAGAGTCAGACGGAGCGATCGGAACTGTGGTGTGGCCTCGAAACGTCAGTGTAAATGCCCCCCCCTAACCCCCCCAATCCCAATGAGGTTTATAAGGGAATTAATCAACTTTACCGTGGCTTTGCAGTTGACGATCTGCTTTTCGTTGTATTGGAGTCCCGTGGGGTCATAGATAGTTCCTGTCAGTGGGTCGTCTCCTCTTGGGCATTCGCCTACCATTAGTATCTTTGATGAAACTATTCGTTTAGAGAAGGCATGTATATATATATTTTTATATATATATATATATTGTCAAAGCGATTCGAATCTGCATCGAATGTCCGAAGAAGAGAATCGCCTAAGCCAATCAAATACCACGTTCGGTCGAATTTCTGCCAATCCAAGTCCAGGTATAGACAGACACCTTGTATCGTATATACGTATAACGTTATACGTACAAGAGTAAATTTGATCACATGGATTCGAGTGACACGACTATACTATTTACTAGATATATATATTTTCCCTGAAAGGATAGAAAAAAAACTTAACATGAAAAACATACATCTAAAGTCCAAATTTAGGCGAAAAGCACAGTGTAGAACGTACTGATTTGGCAGCTGTAGCCGCTGTACGGGGCATCACACATGCACCCGTACAGCTTGGTGGCGTCCCAGTTGGTGTCGTACGGGAAGGGCTGGCCCAGGCCTCGGTCTTTGGTCAAGGCATAGTCCTTCATGCTGACGCAAGTGCCGCGTCCATTGCATGCACAGGCGACTATGAGGATTATTCCCCATGAATGCATGATTGAAAGGGGAATTTTCCTTACGGCGGTCGCAAGCTTGACCGGTGAACCCCGACAGACACGTGCACACGCCCGTGGTGGTGTCGCACTTGCCCCGGTTCGAACACACCGCCAAGTTGTGCGCGTTATCGTTCGCGACAGCAAAATCCGACCACGCTACCCCCATCGGACATTTGGCTACAACGTGACACACACATTGCACTAGACGTTATACTACTTCAAAGTAGAAGCAAGGTTGTTTTGGCTGAAGAATATAGAGACAATTTGTATGGAATTTGGTTCAAAATGATATTCGTTCGCGTACCAATAGCACAGTTGTGGCCAGTCCAGGACTCGGAGCACCGACACACGCCTTGTTTGAGGCAAAAGCCATGCCCACTGCAGTCCTGGGGGCAGGGAGACCCAGCTACGATGCCCGCAGTTGCCAATACCAGCAGCACCAGCGCACACACTTTTGCCATCCACACGTAACCACCGCCACTGCCAACAAATTGTGCTTTATATGAATGGTGTACATATGTATTTATAGGGTCCCGTTTGAAACGCCCAAGTCGACTTGTCTGCCCAACTTTGTATGAATACCCTGTGGAAAGAGTTGTCTGCGATACCGTACGATGCATGTATATTAAGTTACAACTCGTCGTTGCTGAGGTGGCATTGGATGGCAGCTAAATCCGCATCGGAGAATGCGTCGGGGTGCCCTGGAGACGACAGCTGGGATGATCGAAGCGGGTAGTCGCTTTCGATCTCGTTCCACTTGCAGCATGGATCTCCCAGCTCTTCCCCGTTCGTCGCGCCATCCCCGTCAGAGTCCATGGCGCACAACAGCTTGGACCACTTGTAGCCGGCGTCGATGAAGTCGTTCCCAAACGACGACAAGGCATCGCCGCCGCCAACCTTGTTGGCGTGGCCGACGGCTGAAAAGCCTTCGACTTCGAACCCGTTCGGGATCTTGTACCGAAATTCAGAGTACGCGTGGACACTTCCGACCACTGCGGCACACGTCACCGCTACAGCCTGCATGATTTGGAAGCTGATGTGAACTACTAGAGGAATATTATTGACCAATGAGAGCGCTTAACTACTATGATTGGCTGAAATGTTACATTTTCCAAGAAATCCTCAAATTAATATCCGGTGTATCCGGATAACGCGTCATTCACACTTGAAAATGACAACCAGTATGTCGACAACCACCACCGCAACACATCCAAGCATCCTCTTGGTGGGCGATTCCATCACTCAACTCGCATGCGACCCCATGCAGAACGGCTTCCAAAGCCTCCTTGAACGCGACTACATTCGCCGCCTCGATGTGGTCAACCGTGGACTCAGTGGCTACAACACGAGGTGCCTTCAACACGCTTGGGTCTTCTCCTTGATATCCTCCTAGGTGGACGTTGGATGTCCTGCCAGCGATCTTGCAGGACGCGTATGCACACCGCGCGGCTCCCCTTCTTGTGACCGTCTTCCTTGGTGCCAACGATGCCGCCCCGCCAGGCTCGACTCAACATGTTCCCCTACCCGAGTTCCAAGCCAATCTCCGAGCACTCGTGGAGCTTCTTCGTCAGTGGTTCCCCTCGTCAAAGGTGCTTCTGCTGACTCCCCCTCCTATCTCCGACACCAGAACCTGCGGCCGTCGTAATGACCTCGCGCGAACGTACGCTGCCGCCAGCGTTGCCGTGGGAACCGCGCTGGACATTCCTGTTGTGGACCTATGGACACTCCTGCAAGAAGACCGAGACTCGTACTTGGTCGATGGACTTCACTTGAATGCCAAGGGCAACATGGCGGTGTACAACTCACTGACGCAGCACATTGCCAGCCTGTGGCCCCACCTTTCCCCCGACAACCTGCCCTTTGTGTACCTTCCTTGGGCATCAAATGTCCAATCCAGCTAGATTTTAGATCTCACGCGTAATTCACCAGTATTTGCTAATGAAACGGTAAATTTTTTGATAATTTTAGCATCTAGTAACCAGAACGAAATGCTACAGCATTCTGGCCCAAAACGTCATTTTGGGACCAAATTCAATAAATCTGATAAATATTGAAACATGTTTTGCTTTAGAGTTTTATTGTGCTTTTCAGTCAAATTTGCCTATTTTAGGGGATTGATGAAATCGCCAACTAATCGAGCAAATGAGTATGATTGGCTGAAAATATTGATTGATGCATTGCAGTCTCAAAGATACCTCTTCAACTCAGTTTTATATGAAATTTCAAAGGTCTTGCGATTGTTCGGCGGTTGATTCAACCAATCGCCGGAGGAAATTTTGAGTTGAACACACAATAACCCAAATCCAATAATTCCAAGTTGAACGTTGAATTTTGAGATAATTTTAGGGTGTCTACCGTATACCCCCCGCTTCAGTCAGTACAAGGGAACTACGGAATACAAGAAGTTTGCAACCCTACGACATTTCTTTTGTCCAATAGAATAATTTTTCTCATGAATATCATCATGTGATTGGATAAATTATTGTTCTCCCGCCAAACTTGGGACTTAAAAACGAGGGAGGCAAATTTGGTAGTTTACAATAAAACGATGACACGCATCATGCATTCGATTGCCTTCAAGTTCGAAGCCTTGAGGCCACTTGAAACCATAAACGACACTAAGGTCGCGGTCAAGCTTGGAGTGCCACGGAGAACTGTGCGAAACAGGTACAACCAGCGGACGGAGTTGCTTGCCTTCGATGGAAACAAGAAGCGGATGAAGCTGCAACCAGGCGGCCGCCACGAAGTGTTTTCGGACCCACCAGGCCTCGTTCAATTTATCAATGCTTGCGCGATGCAGAGCGTGTCCTTACAACCATGCACATGATCACTTGGATTTAAACGGAACCAACGCCCGTGGTCGCTCAATTACCTCGCGACGAAGAAGCTTCGCTCAGGCTACAACTCTATCCTGCAGTTGCTTTGTTGCTTTTGCCAACGAAATGGGTTTTCTCTCCAAAGACCAGGAAAGATCAAAAATAGTCAAGGCGACCTAGCCAAGATTCACGACAAGTTTTCCTTCGACTTCCATCGATCGTAAAGCGCCTATGGTAAGGAGTGCACGTATAACGTCGACGAAACAGGTTTCGATTATGATATACCGCCAAACTACATTTGGGCTGTCCGTTGAGGTAGCTCCAATTTATCATTTGAGGAGAAGCATTCCATGCGCGTGTCCGTCGTCCTCACTGCCCGGGCTGATTGGACCATGCTCCCTATCATGTTCATCATGTAGGGTTAACCAGGTGGTCGTATTGAGGAGAAATTCCTAACTTTACTGCCGGCACGTCTAGTCGGTCCAAGACAAATCGTGGATAGATGCCCGCGTGTGGAAATATTTTCTCCGCTTGGTACTAGTTGACAACTTAGAGTCACACGTTTCGGAAGAGTCAATCAAGATCGTGAATGAAGAGCTGAGATCTCACCTCTGTGCGCTGCCACCAATCACGACGTCGGTCTGTCAGCCGTTGAACGTTGGCGTCATGGCTCCTTTCAAGCGGCACCTAGGTAAGTTGTGGCTGTTTGAGAACATGATCGAAGGTGACGAGGAGGATCCGTACACACTGATCGCGCAGCAGAAGAGGGTGGCGATGGTCAAACGAGCAATTACCGCGTGGGATATGGGGCAGTTTTGAGAAGGCACTCGCTTGTGCGCGAACGAATGAAGAATAAACTGAATTTTATAATTTAGAATTCCTTTACTTTTTATTACTAGGATTTTGTATATTTTTGTTCAAGGATAATATTATTTTGATAATTAAGAAAAAGTTTGACACTACCCGGGAATTGAACGCGGGTCCCTTCCTCTATCATTTGATGCCTTCACGCTTAACCACTGCGCTATCGCGTCAAACGCTTACCCTGATACTCGATGCATCGTATTAATGACTTGGTTGCGAGAATTTTTCTATATGTAGACGCATAACCTGATGATCTGCAGAAAAGTTGACAATTCAAATAATCCAGTTATGCTTCATTGAGTTATTTAATGAAGCATAAGTCATGGTGCCAGCCAATTTTATTTACATTGCACTGCAGTCATTGGCAGAAAGAATTATCGCACTTCGAAGTAAGGTAGCCAATCACATCAACTCGAAGTCAAATGTGGCCTTGCATTCGGTAGTTCCCTAAATGTCAGTGAAATCTGATCAAAACCGGTACAGCTCCAAGCGGTACCCTGAAAACTATTCAGGATTTCGTAATGGGTACATCATGGCCTTATATTTCATTGGATGAAAAGAATTAACGCATGGTGATTGGATATTTGTGTCCAATTAGAGACTACTAGGTACATGCCCAACCGGAGCCATAAAATGGTTCCTCATTGGCCGATATGCTCCAAACTGGTAGAGGTCCAACCGGAGAAATCATAGGTACTGAAGTGGGAGGTATATGGTAGAAACATGAACGAAATATTACGTATTGTGCTCTGCAACTTTTTTGGCAATTCCAGGGTCAAATTCGCTGTTTAAAGATTTCTCAGGCTTAAATAACATCTAAAGTAACTGGAATAACAATTGGGTGCGTTGTTTAAAGTTACTTCATCTAATGCGATGATTGGCTGGTTGAAGGTGGTTTTACAGGCACTTTCGTAAAACAAGTTTTTTGCCGTTTTCATTCTGGCAAACAACTTGTTTTACGTCAACACGTCAAGGTGCTTGCCGCAATGAAACTGAATCAGCTATGGCCACATACATGACCTCCCATCCGTGATCACTAGAAACATTAACTACTCCGAGTAATTTATAACGTTAGGGATATAGTTAGGCTAATCGTAGCTCTGTCCAATGACTCAAAGCTACCATACCTACAACACTTGATCTGTATTAAGCGAGGGCGCACTACAACTACGCGATGTATAGTACTCCCATGAGCACGAGTTTCTCGCTGGTTGGCATTGTGGATACGGTTTCAAATGCCGACATGATTTGCCACTCCGAGCTCGGACACGAATTGGTCAAGCCACCCCTGACGATGGCATGGTGGTCCTGCAAACGTTTTCGGCGCGCCTCAATGCCATTGTCGACGAGCATGACAACGCCTTGATCTACAATGCAGATCAAACCGGCGTCAACTATGAGTACTTAGCGACAAAGACCTTGAACAAGACTGGCGACAAGACGATTTGGGTGAAGTGCGGCGGGAAGGCGATGGAACGCGTGACGGCCATGCTGTTGGCGGACTCGGCCGCCGTCAAAACTGGCTGAACCTGATCCGACGTCAGTTAAGGAACGCAAGACAACGAGGCGTACCTATCAAGCTGCAACCGCCTTCGCGGGTGACTATCGTGGGCTGGATCGCAAAGGCGTGGTCGGACTTGCCCAGTTCTACAATTGTGTACGGATTTCGAAAGTGCCGGCTTGTTAAGGCGCTACCTGTTGAGGAGGATGCACCTGATGGCGTGGTTGACGATGTGGTCCTAGCGGAGTTGATGGCAACTTCCTCCATTGACGATACTATTCACCATGAGAGCGACATTAGCAATATTGTTGATGAGGATGTTGATGATATTACTGACTTATTTATGGAATTCGTTGGGAGATTGCCTACCATTTCATATTTAACGAATGAAAACGCTCCTGTACAATGATTGGATATTAATAATTCAATCACAAATCCATATTCAACACCAAAAAAACTATTGGCGATTGCCCTTGGCCATACAGGCTACATGATACGAGTACAGTTATGCGACGATGGAAAACCATACAGTACAGTAGTCATGTACTTCCTCTATTCCACGTTACAACCGACACAACTCATTCCAGTAACCCCAAAAATTCATTTTCCGGTCAAAATTAATGAGCTCAATCATGTTCTAAAGAGAAACAAAAATGAGAGGGGGTCTACATTGACTGGTAAGGAAGAAAATCAATTTTTGGCGCCCAAATATGATTTCGCCTTCCGACATCAGCAAAAATTACGAAATAATTATTTTACAATTTGAAATTGAGGGACTTCCCTGATCACCAAGATCGAAACGCCTCGTTTCCGGCGCGAGCTCTCTTATGAGAACAAGATGGAAGTCGTCACCCGGCTGCAGCAACTCACAATCATGGGAAAGTTAGTGCGTGGTTCCATCTCCACCACTGCAAAACACATGCAGTTGCACCGCACCACCGTCTCCAACATCTGGGAAGGTTTCAAACGCAACCGTCGCATGCCATCCGGCAAACTAGGCCGCGTTGGCGGCAAGACGATCCACACATCCGACATTGTAACTACGCTCGTCAGTGCGGTTCCCGAGGAACAGCGCTCAACAATGCGCGACATCTCCGAAGCCACCGGACTGTCCATGGGCACACTGAGTCGACGCCTACGAGGCGGAACGATTGAGCGCAAGAACACTCGTCACAAACCGCTGCTGACTGACGCCAATACCATCTAACGTACCAAGTATTGCCGCTTGCACGTAAGTCGCTGCGCTCCTGCCGCGCTCACGATTCCGCCGGCGCCAGAGCCAGCGGCGAAGCCGGTTTCCCTGAAACCCCAGCAGAAGTGACCTATGCGTTTGACGCCATGTGGGACGCTGTGCACCTCGACGAGAAGTGGTTTAACGCGGAGAATGGCCGCCTAAAGGTGTACGTCGTCAAAGGGCAGTCCATCAAGCGGCGTGTGGCGAAGAGCAAGCGATTCATTCCTAAGGTCATGTTCCTGGCAACAGTGGCGCGTCCTAGACACGATGATGAGCGTGGTGTCATGTTCGACGGAAAGATCGGGATGTGGCCTGGCCTTAAGCACCTGCCCGCCACCTGCAACTCCCGCAACCACCCCGCCGGCACGATTGTCCCTACAATCGTCAACGTTGATGCAGAATTGTACCGCGACTACGTCATTAAAAGGGTCGTATCTGCGATCAAGGCCAAGTTCCCAAGCGTCAACAAGAGAGTGGTCCTCCAATAGGACAACGCGGCGTCGCACGGCGCTATCACCGAAGCAATCTTGGCCTGTGTGTCCACCGATGGTTGGACTTTCGTAGTGCAGCGCCAACCGCCCAATAGCCCCGACCTGAACGTGCTCGACTTGGGGTACTTCGTCTCCATCCAGTCTCTACAAAACAAGTTGGTGAGTCGCTCCATTGATGACGTGATTCAATCGACGCTTGCATCCTTTGAGGCGCTCAGCTCTGAAAACCTTGAGAATGTCTTCCACGCTGTTCAGGCCGTCATGCGTCTTGTGCTTGAACACAACGGTGCCAACCACTTTCCCTTACCCCATCTCAAGAAGAACGCCAAGCGACGCGCGGGGACACTTTTGGCAAACTTGTCCTGTCCAGCTTCCCTCTTAGACTAGTTGACACCAATGACATCAGTGAAGATTTTAACCAATAATATGCTTGCATGTTCTTACTCAACCAATGGTAGCGTTATGTCGGCAGTAAGGTGATAAATTTGATTTTATTCAATGTCGGTTGTAACGTGGAACAGAGGAAGTACTAGGTATAGTATTTTCGATATCAATGTTGAATGCAAGCATGCATGCGACCTTGCCCGCGTATAAGGCATCAGCTATCGTCGGACGACTTTAACTTGCCTCTGCATGGCGTAATGCAACGCAATACAGTACTAGTAGTACATACGTCAAGGTCCTCAAAAGTAAACATTGAACCACATGATATTAACGTTACTCCTGAAGTAGAATTTATGCACTTGATTTGTTAGTGCATTCGTATACAACTTGGAAAAAAAAATGAGCCCGAGGATTTCGAAATGGCGAAATCATAGGGGTGTGCGCCTACGATTGCATACACAAGTCAAGCTCTGACATACGAATTTCGTAGAATGTTCTTTGATGTTTCCTTAATTTGGTATAACGAATATAGATACGTTGTTTTTATTATTATGGTAGTGTTGTTCTATATTGATATACCCTCTCTCTTATTGAATTAACTATGGAAATTAATTGCTGTAAGGAGATTTCGCAATGAACGATATCGTTCTCTTTCCGCTCAGACGGAAAAACCTCTATGATAAAATTCCGGAACGACAATATGCAAATTTCCGCAAAATGGCTGCCTGAACGATAGTCTGTCCTTCAAAAACCTCTAGCAATGCATCAACATGTACAAACTTTCAATGCGCTTGGTGACGTACTCGACAATCACAACATGAGTGTCGAACACGGCACCAAGAGGAAGAAATGGACGTTTGACGAGGACATTGAGCTGCTTCGTCAGGACTCGGCCTCCCACGGCGCGATCGGCTCGAATTGGGAATCAGTTGCAAGAATTTTGACGTCATGTTCCACCTATGGGTGCAACGTGAATGGAAAGAAGTACCAGAACCAATTCAACATCCTGTTGGACAAGCACAAGATCTTGCGGTAAGAAGCCATGCAAGCCAGCAGTGTCTCCGAAGACGAAACCGAAAAGACGCAGTTGCTTGATGACCTGCTGCTTCGCATGCAACAGACGGAGGTAAAGTCGGTCTAGGTACCAATTGCGGCGTCAGCAGACAACATGTTGAAGAACTTAAACGCCCACCATGTACGACACGAAGCGATGAAAACCATTGGAAAGCTCAAAGTCGAAGAGCTGGGGCCCTCAAAATCCACGCCGTCTAAGAAGCAGGTAATTACTATGTTGTCTATTTTACTTTTCTTCTCAAAGGCAAATGTATAAACTATACTATTGCTCACTCCTTTAACTTAGGAAATGGAATATTTGACATGCTGCGGGTTGAATCTGAAAAGCAGCTTGAATTCGAGAAATTCAAGTTTGAAAAAGAGATTCAGGATCGCCAAACAGAGCGAGAAACACGCTTTGAACTTGCCAGATTGGAAAACGAAAAGGTTTTGAACTTAGCCAAACTTAAGAAAGTGTAATTTCAATTACAAGGTTGATTACTCGAGATACTCTTCTAACTTTGGCGGTGATGAGCCAAATAAGCTTGATATTTTGTTGCCATCGTTGTAGCAGCAATAGCAGTTGGTGAGCAGCATGGATACCGCAACTACTTTCCCAACGGCGCTCAGCATGTTTTTTTGCTGCGGCTTAAACGCAGTGAATGCCCATAGCTTCTTCATCAGCTGAAAGTTCGATTCGACGCTGGTCTGAACTTTACTCACACGAGCATAGAATTCTTTTTCTTGGTCGGAACACTGCCTCTTTAATCCCGACATGATATAACGATTGATACCGTAAGCAGGATCGCCGTAAATAAAATCTCCTACGATATAATTGAATATATTAATTGGATAAAGTAATTTGTAAACAATTAATGATAATTATTATGCCAAGTTTAGTACTAGGTATTCGCTAAGAAAACATAGAGATATTAATTTGTCATGTTACTGTTAGTACAGGTCGAAAAAAGTAGAGATAATAATTGTGTCAAATTAAAAATATACTTCCTTAAAAAATGTCGGCGTTTGCGTCGAAGTATTCGAGCAAATTGCTGCAACGCAGCATTGTTGTGTCGTGGCGGCGGCCCTTCAGTGCCCCCAAAAAATGAATGCACAAACCGCCCGGAGCAGAAAGCGCTTAGTAGTTCAAACTATGCTGACACTTATGTCCGATGTTCAGCAATTTTTGAAGATTGGATTGCACTAATGGGCCTTGTGCTTGTGGCGACTGGAAGCAGCATCGATGAGGCCATGGTGCAACATGTTTCGAGCTTTGTCCCATCAGGGAAAGCAAATACATTGGCCAAAAGAGCACCTTTGATGTGAACACATTGAGAATACTGCCGGATGCGTTGTTCGACAACGCACCGACGCGACGGGCAAAACACAACAACGTGGACCATTGGTGGTGGAGGGTGTCCACAACGTAGTTGAAAATTCGACACAGTTGCTTCCTGGATTGGCCAAACATTGCAACTATGACGTGGTACTTGGTCGGGAATGCGAGGCGGCGCAGCAGAATACACAAGGCCTGTACAGCATGAAAACTGTCTTGGCTTGGCGTGACCACAATGCCTGGTAAGCGGAGCAGCACTGCCAATGATCGGGCACCGGCGACGTCAAAACGAAAGTACTCGGTCGAGTCCGCGTCATTTAACGTGTCTAGGCAAAAACGAACTGGATAACGGGATGTTTGTTCTGCAGCGTGCAGAGCAATTGGGTCGCGCGTTAGTTTGACCCATTGCAAACACACACACTCTGTGTGTGTGCCGTGTCAAAGGTTCCGATACCTTAGTGGAGGTACTGAGTACTTTAGTGAATGGTAGTCAGTAGGCGCCTCGTGGCGTGTTTAACCTCACTAATATCAGTGTGTATATTTGCTGCCTTGACGAAGGTCCCGTGGCCGAAAGCCGAGAAGAAGCGG